TAGCTTGCGCTCTTGTGCTGCTGTCTTTGTTCAGCCTCGGACTCTCTCTTTTTAAAGTATATGTTTTTTTCCAGTGTACCTATTATTTTCTTGGTGATAAAGTGAGTTATCACATGTATCTTATTTTGTTTATTGTCATGTCTCTCCTCTGGAATGTAATCTTGTGAAAAAATTGCAACTTTGTGTTTTGTTCCCCACTCTATCTTCTTGGTGAGGTTGCTGCCTGATGAATGGAGTGAGCATTCATTAAGAGAATGAATGAGGCCGGGCGGTGGTGGCGTAAGCCTTTAATCCCAGCACTCGGGAGGCAGAGCCAGGCGGATCTCTGTGAGTTCAAGGCCAGCCTGGACTACAGAGTGAGTTCCAGGAAAGGCGCAACACTACACAGAGAAACCCTGTCTCGAAAAACCAAAAAAAAAAAAAAAAAAAAAAAAGAGAATGAATGAATGAATGAACTGACCCTACACCAGCTGTGGACTCTTCACAGGCTCTTTCTGGAACAGTGTTTTCCACACATTCTAGTTGTCTTTGGTGAGCTGCCCTAGATCCCAAGGAGACCATCCAAATGTTACTATGCACCTAATGCTTTCTTTTGGACCCGATGCCTAGTTGGCTGCCTGGTCCTGTGGGTTTGTTTCATTCCTGAGCATCCTGTTCCCATGATTACCCCTCTAGATAGGTCTGGCTTCCGTGTGTGTGTGTGTGTGTGTGTGTGTGTGTGTGTGTGTGTGTGTGTGTGTCTGTGTGTCTTAATGTTATTATCTGTGTGTTATATCTGTGTGTATTAATGTTAATAGAAACATTAAGCTTTGTGCCACCATAATGAGTACCGGAGACAAGCCAACTTAAAAGAAGAAAGGCTTGTTTTGGTCGGAGATTCCAGTCTGTGTCTGGTTGGCCTTGTTGTCACCATTGTGGGGTCGTGTGTCAGAGGAGCGTGTTCACGTGATGATACTTGGAGGAAAGGGCTGGGGAAAGAGACTGGTGTTTTAATATCCACTTTGAAATGGACTTCCCAGGGACCTATCTTCCTTCCACTAGGCCCATTTCTTCAAGATTCTTCCACCTCTTTAACAGCACTGGGGTCCAGTTCTTGAATATGTGCACTTTTGTGGCTATTCAAGTTCCAAGGTAGGCAACAAATGTCGAAATGCTTCATGGCCTGTCAGTTTCTCTGTCCGGTCACCATGCTATCTTTACAACTTGCCTTTACTCTGTCAGCAGTTTCAGTGACACTCACTGAACTGAAATTCCTTTAAGGCTGACCATTTTCCAGTTCTCAGTTCAGAGGAGTTGAGCCACAGTGCTGTGAAGCTACCACATCCTAAGTGGTTCTCATTGTTCACAGAATCAAATAGCAACCATGTTCCCACCCTTGGCCAGCTGTCTTTCCCTACCCAGGTGGTCTGCACCCTCTCTCAAAACAGCAATTCTTCAAGAAGCATTTCTTCTTCATCCAAGCAGAGCTCCTTGGATGGCCTCTTATATGTTACCTTTTTGGTTTTTTTTTAAATTCCTAAATATAGTACATCTTTGTACAATAGTAATCACTGTCTGTTTGAAATGTACACTCAAATTGCTGTACCACCAATTTAGCTTTCAATCCATACTATTGTATGTGGCTGCCTATTACCTTTATTTTGTTATGCTCGGATCTGTCCCTTCAGCAAAGCTGTAAAGTACTTGCACTAGGCAGCTACTGCTTTGTCACAAACCACTTCCAAATCCCATGCCTCAGAATAACTTTTATGTTATAGTTCACATACCCGAGGAACCTGGGGGTTGGTTGATCTTGTCTCGGCCCCTTTGGGCTCGTCAGAGCTCTGTGGCTTAGCCAGGCCTCAGCTCCAGTTGAAGCCGAGCTGGACTTGTTAGTTGGGCAGCTCTGTCCCACAGTTCTCATCCTTGTCTAGAGAGCAGTAGGCTAGCCCAGCCACATTCCTCTCTTGGTGATACCAGAAGTACGGAAACACAAGAAGAACCAGGCAAGGCCTACTGAAGCCTAGGCTAGGCATATTAATTAATCTCAGCTTCCAGAAAGGCCAAAGCAAGCCTCATGACTGAACTCAGAATCAACGGGTTGAGAAATACAGTTTCTTGTAATAGGAGGAACTGCAGAGTCACATTCAAGAGGTGTGGCTATGAGAAGGAATGAAGACTTGGGGTGGTTTTGCAACTTGCCATATACAGGGTGGATTCTTTTTTGCTTCTCTGAAGTGCCAGCGCTAGGCTGCATACTCTTCTACCAGTTCCCTATCCCTTTGTAACAAATTACTCTAGATCAGTAGCTTAAAATGTTACTGTATCCACTCATATTCCATGGGATGGCTAGGCTGAGCCAAGTCGGGATGGTTCATTTCTGTCATGTGTGTTGTTAGTGAGACTTGCTTGTGTGGCCATAATTTGACTACAGGATCTAGAATTCACATGACTGACCCCTCAGCTGCTGTTTCTAGCTGTCTCCATAATTTGTCCAAAGCCTCCTCTATTTACAATTTCTCCAGCAGAGTAGCTGGACATTTTTTTCCCTCTCATGGTCAGTGTATGGTTTTAAGAACATGAAGCCAGAAGCAAAGGCCTCTGGGCAATGACTCAGAAGCTGCATAAAAATTCTGCTGCATTCTGTTGATCAGCAAACCACAGGGCGAGCCTGGATTGAGTGGGAGGAAGAATAAGACCTGCAATACATTGTAAGAGGCCAGGCGGCTGTTGGAGACTATGTCCTCCACCTTTGGAAAGACCCTGAAAGGCTGAGAAAATACTTGAGTAAATATTTGGATGAAACAGTGGAGCAGAAGCAACGTGTCAGTGAGGAGCGTCCAGTGAGGAGTGTCAGTGAGAAGCGTCCAGTGAGGAGTGTCCAGTGAGGAGTGTCAGTGAGGAGTGTCAGTGAGAAGCGTCCAGTGAGGAGTGTCAGTGAGAAGTGTCCAGTGAGGAGTGTCAGTGAGGAGTGTCCAGTGAGGAGTGTCAGTGAGAAGCGTCCAGTGAGGAGTGTCAGTGAGGAGTGTCAGTGAGAAGTGTCAGTGAGAAGCGTCCAGTGAGGAGTGTCCAGTGAGGAGTGTCAGTGAGGAGTGTCAGTGAGGAGTGTCCAGTGAGGAGTGTCAGTGAGAAGCGTCCAGTGAGGAGTGTCAGTGAGAAGTGTCCAGTGAGGAGTGTCAGTGAGGAGTGTCAGTGAGGAGTGTCAGTGAGAAGTGTCAGTGAGAAGCGTCCAGTGAGGAGTGTCAGTGAGGAGTGTCCAGTGAGGAGTGTCAGTGAGGAGTGTCAGTGAGGAGCGTCCAGTGAGGAGTGTCAGTGAGGAGTGTCAGTGAGAAGTGTCAGTGAGAAGCGTCCAGTGAGGAGTGTCAGTGAGGAGTGTCCAGTGAGGAGTGTCAGTGAGAAGTGTCAGTGAGAAGCGTCCAGTGAGGAGTGACAGTGAGGAGTGTCCAGTGAGGAGTGTCCAGTGAGGAGTGTCAGTGAGGAGTGTCAGTGAGGAGTGTCAGTGAGGAGTGTCAGTGAGGAGCGTCCAGTGAGGAGTGTCAGTGAGAAGTGTCCAGTGAGGAGTGTCAGTGAGAAGCGTCCAGTGAGGAGTGTCAGTGAGGAGTGTCAGTGAGAAGTGTCAGTGAGAAGCGTCCAGTGAGGAGTGTCCAGTGAGGAGTGTCAGTGAGGAGTGTCAGTGAGGAGTGTCCAGTGAGGAGTGTCAGTGGAAGCGTCAAGTGAGGAATGTCAGTGAGGAGTGTCCAGTGAGGAGTGTCCAGTGAGAAGTGTCAGTGGAAGCGTCCAGTGAGGAGTGTCAGTGAGGAGTGTCCAGTGAGGAGTGTCAGTGAGAAGCGTCCAGTGAGGAGTGACAGTGAGGAGTGTCAGTGGAAGCGTCCAGTGAGGAGTGTCAGTGAGGAGCGTCCAGTGAGGAGCGTCCAGTGAGGAGCGTCCAGTGAGGAGTGTCAGTGAGGAGTGTCCAGTGAGGAGTGTCAGTGAGGAGTGTCCAGTGAGGAGTGTCCAGTGAGGAGTGTCAGTGAGGAGCGTCCAGTGAGGAGTGTCAGTGAGGAGTGTCCAGTGAGGAGTGTCAGTGAGAAGCGTCCAGTGAGGAGTGACAGTGAGGAGTGTCAGTGGAAGCGTCCAGTGAGGAGTGTCAGTGAGAAGTGTCCAGTGAGGAGTGTCCAGTGAGGAGTGTCAGTGAGAAGTGTCCAGTGAGGAGTGTCAGTGAGGAGTGTCCAGTGAGGAGTGTCAGTGGAAGCGTCCAGTGAGGAGTGTCAGTGAGAAGCGTCCAGTGAGGAGTGTCAGTGGAAGCGTCCAGTGAGGAGTGTCAGTGGAAGCGTCCAGTGAGGAGTGTCAGTGAGAAGCGTCCAGTGAGGAGTGTCAGTGAGAAGCATCCAGTGAGGAGTGTCAGTGAGGAGTGTCAGTGAGAAGCGTCCAGTGAGGAGTGTCAGTGAGAAGCATCCAGTGAGGAGTGTCAGTGAGGAGTGTCAGTGAGGAGTGTCAGTGAGAAGCGTCCAGTGAGGAGTGTCAGTGAGAAGCATCCAGTGAGGAGTGTCAGTGAGGAGTGTCAGTGAGGAGTGTCAGTGGAAGCGTCCAGTGAGGAGTGTCAGTGAGAAGTGTCAGTGAGAAGTGTCCAGTGAGGAGTGTCAGTGAGGAGTGACAGTGAGGATCGTCCAGTGATGAGTGACAGTGAGGAGTGTCCAGTGAGGAGTGTCAGTGAGGAGTGTCAGTGAGGAGTGTCAGTGAGGAGTGTCCAGTGAGGAGTGTCCAGTGAGAAGTGTCCAGTGAGGAGTGTCAGTGAGGAGTGACAGTGAGGATCGTCCAGTGAGGAGTGACAGTGAGGAGTGTCCAGTGAGGAGTGTCCAGTGAGGAGTGTCAGTGAGGAGTGTCAGTGAGGAGCGTCCAGTGAGGAGTGTCAGTGAGGAGCGTCCAGTGAGGAGTGTCAGTGAGAAGCGTCCAGTGAGGAGTGTCAGTGAGAAGCGTCCAGTGTGGAGTGTCAGCATCCAGGAGTCCAGTGCAGTAAGAATGACAGCGTCTTTCTCTTCCAGCTGTCTTCGTACACGTTGATGAAGACGTCAGATGATGGGTTTCCTGAGATCCGCTGGCATCAGACAGCAGACTTTGGCACTGTCCCCAACCTGAGGATGCCCAATACTTTCATGGCTGTTGCTATGGATCTCTGTGACAGGGACTCCCCTTTCGGCAGGTATGGTTGCCTCTTCAGCCTTGCGTTAGCAGTGAATGTTCTTGCCTGTTGTCTTTCACTGTGGCATTCACTTGTAATGGGATGGATTGGACTGTGGGTTGGAGCTTAGACGTACTATGTATCAATCATCTCTGCTGGGATGTGCTGCGGTAATCCAAACCAAAGCACACCCCCTCCTCCAATCCAGAAACCCTCACCACCCCACCTAACAAGACCCCTTGGCCCCTCCCTCAGTGCTTCGATACAACAAAAACCTATGTCATGCTCACATTCAATCAGAGCAGCGCAGTGGAGACTTGGCTCATTATAGTTGTTCACAGGTCCAGAGCAAAAGTCTCCGAAGATCTAGGATGTAGCTTAGTGATAGAGTGCTTATCTAATGTGTCCCAAGCTCTGGGTTCGAGCCCCAGTACCATCCCTAAAGAAGTGAGTCTCCGAGTTTATCTTCCATCATTACTTTTAAGTCTGATATTGGGAAGTAAGTGCTGCCATCCGGAAGCCACGTGTGTTAGTGAAGGTTTCGATTGCTGTTACAAAACACCATGACCAAGACCACTTGGAAAGGAAAGGATTTATTTCAGCATCCAGTTCTACATCACAGTCCATCATCAAAGGGAGTTAAGCAGAGCAGGAACCTGGAGGCAGGGGCTGATGCAGAGGTCATGTAGGAATGTGCTGCTTACTGGCTTGCTCCCCATGGCTTGCTCAGCATGTTTTCTTATAGAACCCAGGACCACCAGCCTAGGGTGGCACCGCCCACAATGGGCTGGGCCCTCCCACATCAATTATCAATGGGGAAAATGCACCACCGCTTTCCCACAGGCCAGTCTGGTGGGAACATTTTCTCAATTGAGGTCCCCTCTTCTAAAATGACTTGGGCTTGTGTCCAGACAACGTAAAACATATCACACAAGTCACTTTCGCTTACATTGACTCACTAAACTAAATCATGGCTAGAATCACCTTCGGTGAAAGTAGGCCATGGAATTCTATGTGGACTCAGGGAAGGGTGGCACTTTCGTTGTTAGCACCAATGAATACTGCATACTAGCTGTAGGGTACAGGACTTCAAATGTGAAATGGAACCTGATATATGACCTTTAGATGAGAGAAGGAACTTGATAATATTAATTGAATGAACAAATAAAAGGCAGACAGACCCAGATGATGGACATCTGATCAGGTGAAGAATGGCTTTCAGGCAGGCAATAGATGTTAGCTGTCCTAGGCTTGGGTTGTTGCAGCACATCCCAGCAGAGATGGCTGATACATAGTACATCTAAGCTGCACCCAGTAGTCCTGTCTGTTCCCTTACACTCCACCCTCCTCTCTCTTTTTTTAGCCCTCTCTTCCCGTAAGGTTCTAAACCCAGTGAAGGTCAGAGCTTCATCTTGTTATGACTCACTGTTGTTCTTAAGGTCGCTAGCCACTGATCATTGACTTTTACAACTTTATTCTTTCCTCCTCTCTTTCTTCTTTTTCCTACTCTTTCTTTGCCTATTCTTTTTTCCTCCTTCTCCTCTTCCTTCTCCTTCTTCCCCTCCTCTTTCTTCCTTTCTTCCTTCCTTCCTTCCTTTCTCTCTCTCTCTCTCTCTCTCTCTCTCTTTCTTTCTTTCTGCATTTTGAGACAGGACCTCACTGTGTTGTCCAGACTGGCCTTGAACTTGTGATCTTTCTGCATACCCAGAAATTCTTTCCTCCCCTTCCTTCTTCTTTTCTTTAAAAAAAGACTTTAGGGACTGGAGAGATGCCTCAGTGGTGAGAACACTTGCCACTCTTCCAGAGTACCCTGTTTAGTTCCCAGAACTAAATAACTATCTGTAACAACAGTTCTAGAGGATGTGACTTTCTCTTCTGGCCTTCACAGGCACTATCTATGCGTGTGATGCACAGACATACATGCAGGCAAACCATACATGCACATAAAATAAAAACAACCATATCTTTGAAGAATTTTGTGTTTTATCCTTACTTGAGTGTTTTGAATACTTTCTCTTATAACATGTGGTTATTGTTGAGCTCAATTCCATCACCCTCCACATGTTCTTTGTTCTGCAGCATCCACCCTCGAGATAAACAGACTGTGGCCTATCGACTGCACTTGGGGGCTCGAGCTGTGGCTTATGGTGAGAAAAATTTGACCTTTCAAGGACCACTACCTAAGAAGATAGAACTCTTGGATCACAATGGGCTGCTCAACCTCACATATGACCAGGAAATCCAGGTGCAGAGGCAAGATAACAAGACATTTGAGGTGAGACTATCAGGGGGGAAAATGAAGTTTGGTTTCTCTCTGTGGTAGTTGGGAATCTTTTCCCATGAGGCCCTTTTCCATCACTGCGGTATGTGATGAAACAGCTGCTGGTTGGTGGGGCGGGGATGGGGGTGGTGGTGAGCTTCTCTCAGAGGGACAAATGCACAACTACGGATCTGTTAGTTTGGACAGAAATTTGATAGCGCAATCAAGGAAGGGAAAATCAGTCCCTAATAAACCATATTCCTTTCCTATGCCCTTTCTCAGGGCATCCACCTTTGCCCAGAGAATGGCCTTATTCATACTTTATTTGTTAAATGACAATTGATCTAAAATAATCCCCTAAACCTTAGCTGTCTTTTTTGTTTCACTGTGCTAAAATTTGAAATTCTTTAGTTTAGTGTCTCCTTTGAAAAGCTTAAGCTTGGCAATTTCCAGCTTAGTATGAACTAATATAGCCAGTCTGCTCTCTTCCATGATCCAGCAGGGATCACTACTATAGAATTGAGGCCACTGATTAAAGGGATTAATTAGAATCTCTTACAGTTGAGAGGAGAGGCATTCCTAGATGGGTTGTCTTTGGGAAACCTGAGGACACTGGGCTGGGAGCTGACGTGTGAAAAGAGGGGACTGTAGGAGATGGTAATAGTGAAGGGTAGCCTTCATGCAGGAGTTCAGAGCTGTAGCTCCCAGGAGTCCACACACCTCAGACACCTGGTCAGTGTCCGTCCACTGCTTCTTTCCACATGGGCTTGAGGTGAATTTAGAGACTGTCAGGAAAACTCTGCACTCTCCCTGTCCTTAGCTGGTCGTCTGCCTTTCACATGGCCCCGGAACCATGGTTGGGGTTAGGGCAGGATTTAACTTTAGGTTCTGGATAATTTATCTTCTCTGGATTGCTTTCTAATGCCTAAGGTTCAGCAGTCATGGTTGCTTTGTGTCCTTGCCTTACTGCATACCCTCTCTGGGAGTGCCAGAGAGCCACAGCTGGGTCGCTAGCTCACTCACATTCTTGCTGGCTTTGACATCTAGAGGGAGGGATCAACTAGAGAATGTTCAGGGGTCCAGCCTCTGAATGCTGGACTGTTCTTCCTTGTCTCCCTGGAAAGTTAATATTCGTAAATTGATTTTAATTATTTAATCACTTGAACATTAAAATTTCTTTTTGGTGCTGGGATCAAACCCAGGGCCTTGTACATGCTAAGCATCTGCTCTTCCACCAAGCTCTACCTTTAGCCTACATGAACATTTATTATTAACTTGTGGCCCATCTGGTCCAGGGTCTGGTCTTTGGCTCAGAGTGACCTTATTTTCCCTCCTTTCTAGTACATGTGAAAGAGCAGTTCCCAGTTTTTTTGGTACCTATCTAACTTGCCTGGCCATTCTGTTTTTCCTCTTGTTAGATCTCCTGCTGCAGTGACAATCAGTGCAAATGGCTTCCAGCTCCCGTGAACACTTCCTCCACCAAGACCCTGATCTTGGATATCAATGCTTGTCTTGGCACCGTGGCTGCTGTTCGCTATGCCTGGGCCACATGGCCCTGTGAATATAAGCAATGTGCCATTTACCACCCTAGCAGCACCTTGCCAGCTCCTCCCTTCACTGCTCTTGTTACACACCAGGTTCCTGGACGTAGGGCAGGGGTGTCCAAGGACATTTGGAGTAGTGCCAGGTCTTATATACAAGGGCCAGTCCTTTAGATTTGGGCATTTAGGAGTTTAAATGATGACAGCTATTGCTTTTAAGAGCAATTTCTAGAAGCCTCATTGAATAGCTCCCAGCCAGCATATGGCTGTTCCTGTCTTCTGAGATGAGTACTGGCTAACACACTTGAAACGCTCATCTTTGTCTCTAGTTACTCAAGCCTCTGTGCTGACTCTTAACTGGAACGCTTGGTCTTACTACCGTCCACTTCCCTGGTATAAAGACTGAAATGCCCTATTTCTGCCCTTTCATCCAAAACTGTGAACTCTCAGGCCTGCACGAGATTTAAAGGCTGCAGAGGCAGGTGCTTCCTGTGTTCTTTACAAAAACAAACAAACCCCTGGAAATGGCTATGGAATGCTAAGAAGTTTCCATCTGGGGAGCAGAAATCTTCCTCTCGTCAAACGTTACTACCCAGGACAAATATTTCAGGTAAATTAGACATACCATGTATTTGTACCTGTTAAGCTCCCCAAAAATATCCGTTTTCAGCCCAAAGATTCTAACATGAATCTTTGAGACATGTCAGTCCTATGTTTAAGCATACTGACAGGTGCTGAGGACTGGCCTTAAGGAATAAAGAGAGAAGGCCCAAAGGGTGGAGAAATCACAGGCATAGGGACACGTGAAAGTAATTGTACTTGGGGCAAAGAGGTCCTTAAAAATAAGTCTCAGGTCCCTGAGAGGTAGAATTCAACTAAGGCTAATCCCCACTGAAGAAAGAATTTGGCAGAAAGGAGAGCTATGCGATAAGCTTATAGAACAAGTGCAGGCAAGGCAGAGGTGACAATGCCATTTACCACTTGAAAGACAGCTGACAGCTCTGTTATAAGCTGGAAATAAGCCAAGTGTGGTGTGCACACCTTTAATCTCAGCACTTGGGATATGGGAGATGTCTGAGTTCAAGGCCAGTTGGTCTACAGAGTGAGTTCCAGCCAGAATTATCTAGAGAAGCACTGTCTTGATCACCCACCTCCCCCCAAAAGAAACTGGAAATAAAAGTATTATAATTAGTGATGTGTTTATATGTAGAGTCAAATTGTTAGAGACAGATTTATAAAATATCCTTGAAGCATGGGAAAGGAGTACAAGTGTCACCTGCACTTAGCTTTTTTGTTCTTTGTGAGAAATGGGAACTGAAGCAGTGAGCATTTCTCGTCATTCTGTGGGGCTCCGGTGCCATTAGAAGTAGCAAGAAAGCTGTTGTGTTAGGAGTTTATTTGGTTAAAACAAACAAAAAAAACCCCAAACTATACATTCTGCAAGGACCCTTGACTTGTGTGGATTTCTAGCCTGCATTTAACTCCTAATGCCCATACTGTGACCTCTCTGTATCTGGCCATATGAGAACATAATCCAAGTAACCACCAGTTCCCAAGAAAAAGTCAAATCTACCTGCCTGTCCCTCCACCAAACCCTGGTGTTAATTTCACCAAATGAGAGTAAGGACCATTACTCAAATTCTTTGGTCAAATTATGCAAGCTTTATTTTCTATCAGACAGGGCTGTTGTTTTTGCTCTTTTGGGAGGCCCACCATCCAGCTTCCAAATAAATCACACACGGAGGCTTATTCTTACATATAAATGCCCAGCTTTAGCTTGGCTTGTTTCTTGCCAGCTTTTCTTAACCTAAATTATCTCATCTACCTTTTGCCTCTGGGCTTTTACTTTTCTCTATTTTTGTGCCTTTGTTTCTTTCTTACTGTGTTGCTGGTTGTGTAGCTGGGGACTGGCCCTTTGCGTCCTCTCCTCCTCTCTTGCTCTTTCTTCTCTTTTCTTCCCCAGATATCTCTTATATTTATTCTTTCTGCCTGCCAGCCCCATCTATCCTTTCTCCTGCCTTGCCATCGGCTATTTAGCTCTTTATTAGACCATCAGACCATCTGTCTGTTCTAGACAGACAAAGCAACACAACTTCACAGAGTACAACAAATGCAACATAAACAAAAGTAGCACACCTTAAAACAATATTTGACAACACAGGGCTATCTCCCTAAATCAGGGTTTGAGAAAATAGCATCGAACACGGGAGATGGAAGGGTTTATATAGTCCAAAAAACCTGCAAGACTAGGGGATTTTCAAGGATTGGTGGATTCCTAGAGGAATTTTGGTTACATAGGAATTTAGCTGAACATTTCAAAAATTCTGGCAGAACATCTTTATTAGGGTGCATTCAAGTTCTGAATCAAACTCCATAGGGTGGGGAGCACATCACATTCCAGAAACAGGTGAAAACACGGCCAAGCTTGAATTTTGCAGCCAACAGAAATGAACTTATTCTGACCTTATAATAAAATGGCTTCCATACTTAAAGTGAAGTTAGGGTGGTTCATCACTGCCACACATGGCCATGTTGTTCTAATGTGGAGGCTGCTAGAGGTAGCCAAGAACCCCAAGCCCAAGGTCCTTTAACACCCAGTAATTGGTACATACAGTACAAACTTTGTTTAGGTAATGCATGCGGTAATGAAATCATGTATGAATCAGATTTTTAGTGTTTGAAAGTTTAAAACATTGTGTGGGGATTGTGTATTTCCCCAAATGGAAATACTTTTTAACTGTTTGAAAATTAATCACTGGCTAGAAAATTGGGTTAAAGGAGAATGTCAGTAAAAAATAGCCCCTAATAATCACTCAAGGAGAAACACTGCTCTGCTGACTTTGCCCTGGCTTGTATTGTATTTCATATGATACATATGAAATATATATAAAATACATACACACACACACACACACACACACACACACACACACACACACACACACACACACATATATATATGGGATGTGAACTTATTTAAATTATTTTACTTTGGAAAGTTGTAGCTGTTGACTCAAGTTTTTTTTAATTTTTTTTTTTTCCAAGACAAGGTCTCATTATATAGCTCTGGCTATCCTGGAACTATGTAAACCAGGCTGTCCTTGAACTCAAGAGATCTACCTACCTCTACCTCTTAAGTGCTGGGATTAAAGGCACAGGCCACTACATCCAGCAACTCCTTAAATTTATGCAGTTAGTGGATTAAGGTTTGTAGTTCAAAAGTTGTGAACTTGTGCTAATCCACCGAATTATAAAATATGTCTTTTGAGACAGGATCTCACTTCTAGTCTTTGAACTCAGAAATCTGCCTGCCTTTCCTTGTTGGGATTAAAGGTGTGCACCACCATGCTTGGCTTAATGAAACTTTGTCTTTATTCAGGTTGTAATCCAATGAGCTGCTATTTTTAGATGGTAAAAGGAGCATGCTCTAGTAACTTGACAAAAAGCAGGACCAGTGTTATTCATGTTCTCTCCTCTTTGTCTCGTAGATAGGAAGCGATGAACTTAGGCCCAAGTAATGTGGTGCACTGATCCAGAAGCAGGCGACACAGAAAGGCACCCCTCCCCTGACTTTAACGCTATTATGTAGAGTCCAAAAAGTCCAATTGTGTAGAATACAGTCATGAAATGACAGTGAGCCAACTAATCCTTAGGTCGTATCTGAACTTGTGTTCACATTGGGTACAAGATATTCTTTAGTAAGGAATTGAGTTAGAGAGGACTTTATCCCCTCAAAAGATGTGCAAAATTCAACCAAAAAGATGAACAAATATATGAGTTCCCAGTTTGGAGATAAGCAGAGAACTTGTTCTACTGATAATGACAAGAAAATAAAGCTGGGGCCTGGGTTATAGGGGCTGGTGACCCAGTATTCCTAACAAGATTAGAATTTAGTGAATCAAGCTGTTAGAATCTCTGTTTACCTCATGCATCAGCAGGGGCCATGAACTCACTTTGTTAATCGAATCCCTCCCTGACGTTATAGTTACAGCCTTAGGGAGGAGATTAGGTCAAAATGGCTCTGCACAGAACTAGTCCCCTATAAAAGGGACCTGGCGACTCCCTTCCACATGCAGTCATAGCAAGGCAGCTAGCTAAGAACCAGGGGGCAAGCTATCACCAGGGGGCAAGCTATCACCAGGGGCAATATATCACCAGGCATCTTGAACTTTGACTTCCCACGTTCCCAAACTGTGAGAAATAAATTTGTTGTTTACAAGCTACCTAGTTTATGGTATTTTGTTACAGCAGCCCAAAGAGACTAAGCATGTTTTTAAAGATTAAGTTCACTTCAGAGCTAAGAAAAAATGATCCTATCCTGACTACAAGAAGATAAAAATAAGCAGAACTGTCAAGAGATATTTATTACTAAAAATACAAGCAACTGAAGTTTATCCCAGGGTACACTGTCAGCATGGGAACATCCACGATGAAATGTGTTAGTATCTTCTCTGCTTCTTGAATGCTGCCTTCTTCCACACAGTAAGTTTTAGCTGAAGTTAAACACTCGTGATGATGAGAAGGACGCGGGCTCTCCCCTCTTCAATCTGAAGGCTGCATTGGGCTGCACTGTGATGGAGACTTCAGGTGCTGCAGGTCAGTGTCTCCTAAGGGCTCATGTGTCAGGAACTCTGGCTGGTAAGATGACACAAAGGCTTCATGCTGAAGCTCAGGGAGGTCCAGCGATCCTGGAAAAAACAATTCCTTAATTGCATCGTTGTCTGGGACTCTAAGGTCTGCTTTGCTTGGACGCACACACAACCTCTTAATTTCTTACACTTGTAAAAGTCAACCCTATTTTGTCCTCGGTTGGTAAAATGAACAGACAGGTATTTTAACAATGGGGAAAAAAAAGAATAGATGTAGTGAATTGTCATACCCACAAACCCTTATGACCCTAACATCCCTAATATCCCTGACCACTTTCCATTTATGGGAAATAATCCAGGTAACGTAGGTCGGGCCAAAAGCCAACACTGACCTTTGACTTCACCTTAAGTTTTATTCTCTGTACAGCAAACGTGCCAGTTTCCACTTAAGGTACAGAATGAGACACTGAAGTTTCTAGACAGGTTCTTTGGGTAACATGGGAGCCCCAGGCAGGCTCACGTCCCCCTTACCCTGCACTCACCATGCCTGGCTCAGTGAAGCGTGCTACTTACTACCCACCGGTGTGGTGAGGGTACAGGAATCTAAAGATGGTTTTCAAACCAGAAAGGCAAAGTTAAAAGATACCTGGTAGAATGGAATCCTCATGGTCATCATCAAAGGTCTGTGAATCAAAGGCTTCAAGGCTCATAGCTGCATCATTCTCTGGAAGCTCCTGCGACAGCTGCCCCTTCCTGGGTTTGCAGGCATCAAACTTCACCCATTGATAACTGTGGACCAAAGGGAATCATTCCTGAGAGCTGCTACTCCAGAATAACCTGCCCTACCAAATGGATCAAGTTATTTTTTTCATCAGGTCTTCCCCGATATATATCTAAAAACCATCAGCTAAGAAAAACAACCCAAACTTGAACAGGCAAGCCTCTGGTGACAGGTGACAGTGCTCCACACAGAAAATGGCACAAATTGAGCAGCCTTAATTTGACTTCAAAATACTCCAAAACATTTTGTGTAACCATGAATGGGAAATTCCACACCTCACAGGATGGTCACAATTAAAATGAAGGTACACTAGAAATATTATAAAACTGTCCAGAGAGTATGTATAATATATATAGGAAACAACTGGATTTTCTGTTTAGACTTAGGTTTTACCTCCAAGTTACCTCTTGTGCATATAAAGTCGTTGTCCTCCATCCCCACCCATACTTGATCTGAAGACCAAGAACTCAAGAGATGTGCCTGCCTTATGTGCACCACCATGCCTGGTCCACATATAGTCTTTAAAAACCCAACATGACCACCAATAAACCACATCTGAAGCATATCTCATCAAGCATTCTGGATACAGAGCAATCAGCCTGGTATGCAGCACACTGGGTAACGGGCTTCCTGCTCCCCTGTCTAGATAGGTAAGCAGGTCAATGTTGTGGCATGTGAAGAAGTCAGCACACCTGACACAGAAATGCATACATGAACCAAGAAGTAACTGACATTCGGCTACCAGTTTAGGACACTGGTCAGCTGGCAACCGAGTGCCTATCAATGAACAGGTTTGCTCACACTTACTTGACACAGTTTTGAGCTTCTGGACAACTCTGAATCAGGTTGTGGACGATTGGATGAGAAAACCCAAAGAACTCAGCACCACATGAAAGCAGGTTAGGCATCAGTTTCCCCCTAAGCAGAAAAGAGAGAGCTTTAACTTGATGAGAGCTTAGGAGGAGGTGAAGACAGGCTTAAGAATGGAATGGTGGTATGACCAGACACCACACTTAAGCTTTCCTAACACACCCTGAGGTTAGCAGCTAAGGAGTCTGAAGGATACAGCTTAGGTTTCTGTAAAGCAAGAGATCTCCAGGCACTGAGATAGCAAAGGTCTCAACTGTACCAATGGTGACCCTTTTAGTATGCCCTCAAGTTGGTGGCCCACTTACGTTGCAGAACTGATGGTCCTGACCAGTTCTTCATAACAGGCATCTGCAGAAGAGCCGACGATGGTATTCTGGGGGTCATCTTCAGGAACAATTTCAAACTGACAATGATAGAACAAAGGTCAATTTGCAAGGGGGGAGAAGTAAAGTTGTATGACTCCTATAAATAGTTCCAGTCTCTAGAGCTGAAGCTACTGCACAACATGCCAGGAGATGGGCACAAAAGCTTCTTACAATGTTGTTAAAAATTCAAACCCAAGTAAACAGAGAAAATCCCGTGATTTTGATTCTCTACATCTTGCTTGACTGGGCCAGTGGTCAGCATTGAATTTACTCCATGCCTTTCTATCCACTTACAGCCCTAAGTCCAAATACAAATGGTACTTTATAGAAATGAGATACATTGTTCTATGTTACCCTCTATTTCTCTGGGAAACATACGAGTACCTAGAAATTGTCTGGGCCAAAGGATACTTTACCAATTTTTACTGTGTATACATTTTTCTTTATCTTTGCCAATACTGGATATTATCAAACTAAAGTCACCTGATGTTAGGGGAAAAAACTCAAGCTAAATTTTTATCATAAATCAATCATACTTAGAATCTTGTTTGATTAGTGACCTAAGAACATTAAGAAAATTTTTTCTTTTAGCATTTTGTCTCTCAGAGGAAATTAAGAATCACGTGATTTTCATTAAACTTCTGAGACCCTGAATGGATACGCATCGCATTTACAGATGTTGAAAATGTGGTACCCTGCACAACGGTAACTTTTCCTATTAGCACACTTTGTGTGGAGCACGCTGTGTGGCTGAGATGATGTCAAACACCAGCTCCACCTGCCAGAGCTCCGACAGTGATCAGTTTATCACACACAGTTAGGCAGGCTCGGGTTCTACTACTGGGATCCTTACCATGCTTCCAGCTCAGTTTTAGGGATTGGTACTCTATCAGAAAGTGAAATAAGGCACTCTGAAACTGCTGTTTCTGCCCGAGGGTCCTTGTATTTTAGCTGAGGCAACAATGTATCAAGTAATCTGTATGCATTTGCCTTTAACCTAAGCCCACTTGTTTTAGCCTCAAACAGTAATAGTATGTGTGGTAAAATTATTATCGTTTAAGGAAAAGATACCACCTAGAGAATTAAATACAAATCTGTATCCCAGAAGCTGTCATAGCTGTGACAGAGCTAGCCAGTTTTCCTGTGTCTTGGTGTAGTACAAACGGTGACTACAGAGTGTCTTATAGTGTGTCAGAAGTAACAGTTAAAAAGCCAAGGAGAAAGGAGGTTCTCAAAACAAAGAAAACAACTGAAGGAAAAGGGCCAGTCATCCTGCTGGAGTGAGTACCTGCGGCTGCACACCGCCGTCCTTGACCTGACAGGTGTACAGACACTTCTGCTCTGGACACTTCATGCTGGCGAACACCCGAGTACTGCAGTAGCCCACAGGGTAGATGGCACTCTCATCATGGAAGCCAGGCCGGTTGGTGATGATCTAGAAAAGATTCCCCAATCTGGAGCTGAGCTCACTTAGGGCTTTAGAAGCCCAGTTTACTATGGCAGCCTTCAGGGGCTGCGAAGAGTGACAAACAGAAAGTGATGGCCGTGAGCAGACATAACTGACCTGGTTTCCCAGGGACTAGAGATTTTCTGGGGTTGGTATGGATCAGCAAAGGGCTGCTGCCAGTGGGAACAGGGAAGGCTCAACCCCACTCCCATGGTTCTGATTATCCTGTCTATATGCTGGTCTCACTCACCTCCCCCAGGCTATATACTGTTAGACCCCCTAGTCCGATGGGGAACACAGGCCGTCCTGAGGGATCCAGGGCAATGGGCCGAACCAGCTTGCGAGCACCTCCCTCCATTTTCTTTTTCTTGGATGTTTTCTTCAGAACTGAAACGCAAATCTGGGGTCACCCACTTTAGGTCCCTGCCATTGCCAAGGGGAGGGGAAATTTACAAGTGAATGGTAAAGGCAGCAAGCCAATCCTGGTTTACACAGATGCCCTTTATGACGGCATTTCACACCATAAGCCCATCATAAGATGAAAATACTGTAAGTTAATGAGATAATATACCCAACTTAACAAACATCATGGCCACAGAGTATACTGTGGAGTATCAAGTGTTTCCACAGTGTGTGTCTGTCTAGGAGCTGTGGCTTGATGCCATTAGCGAATATCAGAGTCTCACACTGCATATCACTATCCTAAGAAAAGATCAAAAGTCAAAGTCCAATATATCCTGCTTTCATAAAATTGTAACGTTGGAAAAGCACTAGGCTGAACCATCGCTGGAACTGAGGTACCATCTGTTCAGTCACTAAATAGCCATATGGGCCTGTCCCCCAAAGCCCAAGATCTAACTTGCCTACTAAGAGTCACCAACTTTAACATAAGCATTTCGGTGCTAAACATCTTACATTTCTCAGTGGCTTTCAACTGTACAACAGGAATCCCTGAGCTAGCGGTGTGCTCAAAAGGCCACCTTGCCCATTTCCTGGCCTCCAGGGAAGAGTACAGTGAATGCAGTCCAGAGAGCACAGGCATGAGATGAGCAGCAGAGGCCTCAGGCTGCTTGTCCCCATCTATCACATCTAACCAGAATCTCTCCTAAGTAGCTTCCAGGAGACACGTGCTTCTCAAGGGACGTTAGGGCACTTTATGAAACACATGTGGCCCCTTGTGTCTACTGGGTCTTCGTCATCGGTAGAGCCATTGAGGCAACAGATACACTGACTTCTTAAATACCTTCCAGTTTGTTGTTCTCTTTGCCCCTTTCTTTTTTCTCCTTCTTGGATTTCTTCCCAAATGGTTCCTCAGCCCCAGTGCTGGGCCCAGCTCCCGGGAGAGTTCCCACCGAGCTGGCCACACCATAAGCCAGGGGCAAGCTGGAGCTGTGGGAAGGAGCTGGCGCCTGGGGTTCCCCTTCAGTTAGAGCCTGAAGCTGGAGGAGCTTCTTCAGCAAGTATCTGTGGTTGGAGAGGAATGGGAGGAGAGGCGTCCAGTTCTGGTTTTTCTTTTTTTTCTCAATTCATTATTTTACTTAAGTACCGGGAAGTATAGAATTATACACCAAGATTATCACACTCAAACAACAAGGTTCTTATTGGAGCCTGGAGACACTGAAGCCCCACAGGACAATCAATACTTGAAGAAATCAAGATAATAGCTAGTGCTTCTCTTGCGCCAGCAGGGCTCTTCTACCTTTAGGGTGGAAGGCCTCAGGCGTCTGAAGGGTGTTCATAGGAACCCACTGTGCTTTGCATAGGGAAATACAGACCGAATATTTGTAGAATGAAAAGCAGTTTTTATCCCTTGGTTTGCATAACTGGGAAGCGATAACAACTTATTACACGTAGCAAGAAAGCTTTGTCAGAAAGATAAGAGGAACTCTCTTGCCATCAGAGTCCAACAAAACTTGGGTGGGAAAAGCACAGGTGTGGATTCTCTGTATCGTCTCCAGTGGTCAAGAGGTTATGCAATGTGCAAGAATCCTCTGGAGGAAAAAATCTCCAATACTGCTACCACCATCACTAACAACAACAACAACAACAAAATGAAGCTAGCTTACCTTCTTTCTTCTTTTGCTTTAAGGAATTTTTCCTCAAGACGAGCAATTTCATCACAAATAGCAGCATTTTCCTTTAAGAAAACAATGGACTGTAATCACATAAAATGAACTTAAAAATGAAGATATTTTCTGGGAACAAGATCTGTATCTCAAACAAACAAAAACCCCTCTGTGCTTCAGGATAAAAGGGAAATGCTATTCTGCTCTGTACACAAGCTATTAGCACATCTTTACAGGACAGGGAGATTGCTGAGCAGGGCAAGGCACCTTCTGTGCAAGCAAGATTACTTGAATTTGATCCCCAGAACCCAGACTGGAAGGAGAGAAACGACTCCTGACAATTGTCTGCTAACTTCTACATGTGCTTGGTGGCACACACACATTAATAATAATAATAAAAGACATGCCTTTAAAATAATCTGTAGGTAAAGTTTGGGTTCCATGGCAGGCAGAGTAAATTACATAATTCCTTATCCAATGAAGGGACATCTTTTGATGAACAGGGGCACTCTTAAGGCATATGCTAGAACAAAATGGTACACCAGGATTTACATACATTTGGCAAATCAAGGTATGTGGTCACTTCAATTAGTGTAGCCTTTGGCAGAGAAAAAGGATATACCACCTAGACCTGAGTTTACACACTACAAAATTCTAAGGACTAGCTGTGCTCAACAGCCTTGACCTTGACAAGGACAATCTATCCCAAAATATTTATAGGACAATATCTTAGAGAGAAAAAAGGGAGAAAAGAAATTAAATATTGTGTGTAAAATCCTTAGTATCATCATTCCTTACTTAGGACTGTCTAACTTAAGACCAATTCTGAAGGAAATGCCCATTTGGGTGCTTCCCAGGTGGAACCTCAAAATTGATGTTCAAAACATCCTCTGCTTCACAAGACTTTCGTACACTTAAAGGAACCATCATCCTTAAATAACAAATTTTAAGCAGTAGGCAACTCTAACATGAAATGACAAAAGGGAACAGTAAATAGAGCTGCATTGATGTACTTTTTTTCCCTCCAACACACATACAAATGTTAATGTTTTAGGAATGACGGATTTAATGTCAAAACTTTCCCTTATGCATCTAAAAGGCCTAATATGTTCAACTGAAATTTTGTAGACAGAAGAGTTAAACTCCTGATTCAGATGTATGAGAGCATTTGGAACGGATATCTATTTCCAAGCACCGAGGTGACTCTGGTTAAGCCAGAATAGTCTATTAGGTTTATCAGACCCTAGTAAGTCTTGGTTGGCAAAGCAGTTCATTCACTAAATCCGAAATCCCTACAATTAGGGCAGGAAGTGGAGACACACCTCTACAACAGGCCGTAGTGTGCTTCCTTATGAGATGAGTTCCACTTCCAGTACCGGGTTAGAGGGAAGGCAGAAATACTTAGAGAAGCCTCGTCAAAGGGAGCCACAACCCCGGCATTTCTGAAAGATTCAGATGCCTGTTTAAGCAAGGTGTCAGCCACGGCGTTGGGGTTGGGGCCAACGCCGTGGGGGTTGAGGTGTGCTTAGGAAATAGGCTGTGTAATGAAAATAACAAACTGTAATCAAGATATTCAAGTCGGAGTCAGGGCAAACCATCTCTCGGGGCTTCAGTGTTCTTGCCTTAGAAGACTCTTAATACTTAGCTCATCTAGAAAACGAAACGTGGCAAAACGGTAGCGATTACAGTTTACTGGTGGAGCACTTTGCAGTCCTCGTTTACAGAGTAGACAGGACTAGAAAAATGGGGGATAGGGGGCTATTAAAGTGATTAAATTAACGCTGGACTGATACTGTTTCTCTGGGGGAGGAACAGATGGGGAAACCTGTCCCCAGGGAGAGAGCGGCTGAACCCAGACTCACAAACACGGTGGCCTTGGCCGCTTTGCGCAGCCGCAGGTACTTCAACCGGTACTTCTCGTTCTGGCTCTTCTTCGGGAGCCTTTTCATCCTGGCCTTGGACAGCGGGGTGCGCGGCTCGGAAGCCAGGCCGCCCAGCAGGCTCATGATCCGGCCCCAGCTCGGGGGCTCCGGGCCGCGGAGGGCATGGAAGGAGCCACAACCAGACGGCGCTCCCCAGCACTTCCGCGTCAGTTTCCGAAGGAAGCCCCGCCGGAAGTTGCGCAAGACTACCGCCACGTGTAACTTCCGGGTTTGGGAAGCTACGGTTGGTCCGGGCCCAGCGGAGGACTTGGAGGAGGGGTGTGGCTCCGGGCCGCGGGGAGAAGCTGAGGCTGGAAAAGACCGGTTCTACCCGGGTGTTGGAGTGCGTCAAGTAGCGGAAGAAAGACAAAAACAAACAAACAAACAAAAATCCCGAAACAAAACCCTTCTGCGATCTTCCCGGTCTCGCGTCGCTCAGGGTGCGAGTCAACATCTGCTTTTCCCAGTTGCTCTGAGCAGACCTTCCTGAGTTTTAGGAGACTTGAATATTAGTGCTGAACACAGCTTCCCGTTTCTGCTACTCGCACAAGTGTTGTGAACTTCGGGGATAGGAAGAAAAAAAAAAAGTCCTTGATTGTCCCAAAGCTTGGGATCTAGTTGCAAACAATTTTAATAAAATGTTAGCATAAAGTCGGCGTTCAGTGGTTTTTGAATGAAACCAAGCGTGTTCCCATACACATACCCTCTATTTTTAAATAGTGTAATCTTTGTAACTAAGGTCAATTGAAGGATGAACAAATCTTTAAGTGCAAGATGGCCCTAGAGCGGACAGCAGGCTTACATTGTTTTAGTAGTGCCACAAAACCAGTTGACTGAGCCGCTTGTTCAGTTTTTTTTCCTCTCAAAACAATATTAGTAATGAGATGGGTGGGATTTCCAAATTAGTATCCTGATACAGAAGGGAATTGCTGTAAAATTATCAAAATCTAGACATTTAAGGTTGTACATGAAAGTTCAGAAAGATGTTATATAAGTTCACTGAATTAATAAAGAAAAATTTACTAGTAATAAAAACAGAATTCATTAAGTGACCCAGGTACTCTGAAAGCTGTAAAAACAGTTGCAGTTTTGACAGAACAGATTTTTTTTTTTTTTCCAAGACAGGGTTTCTGTGTGCAGCTCTGGCTGTCCTGGAACTCACGCTGTAGACCAGGCTGGCCTCGAACTCCCAGAGATCCGCCTGCCTCTGCTTCCCAAGCGCTGAGATTGAAGGCATGTGCCACCACCACCCTGCCACAAAATGGATTTTAACACAGAGAAAAAGCTTGTAGATATTTTCCTGTAACTGCCCAGGTTATAAGCTACTTTTGATGGATGTGATTGTGTCTAATGGTACAGCTCCAGGGTGCCATTTGCCTTCACAAATATGCCTAAGGCAGCCCTGTAGATTTAGTTCTGGAAGCTCTAGGTGTCATTTGCCTTCACAAAGGTACCCAAGGCAGTCCTGTAGATTTAGTTTTGGAAGCTGTCAGAATTGTGACAGGCTATAAAATACACTGTCTTTGAAAATATGTACTGGAATAGCTTGGAACTTGAAAACAGTCATAGTAATCAAAATTGACTTTATTCTTAGTAAAAACATTACTTTTAAATTGCTTGATTTTCTGTCTAACTGTGCTGACTTTATTTGTATTATTCATCTTCTTCATGTGTCATGTCTACTGGGAGGAAACACCTAGCTTCTGTTTTAGTCTGCAGGCTGTTTTGGCCAATGGACTTTAGTGGAATATGAACAAACATGTTTATTGTTTCTTCTTCATTAGAGACTTTCTCTTTTACAATTAAGACACTTTTCTTTCATATTTTATAAATTAAGAAGGTATTATTTATTTGTTGGCCTTTAAAGACTGGGTTCTTTAAACTCACTATGTAGGGGACAATGACCCTGAATTCCTGATCCTCCTTGTCTCTATCTCCCAAATTCTGGGGTTACAGGCATCGACAGCCACGTCCAACTTGGGGAAATTTTTTTTTAATCCATGGTTTAGGGTCTAACTCAGTGGTAGAACACTTGTCTGGTAAGTGAAAGGGCCTGGGTTTGACTTCTAGCTCTCATGAATGAATGAATGAATGAATGAATGAATGAATGAATGACAGAGGACCCAAGTTTGGCTCCCAGCATCCACCTCTTGTGACTCACAAACATCTGTAATACCAGCTCTAGGGGATCTGACATGGGCCCTTCATTCACATGTGTATGCCCATCCCCCATAATAACTAAACTAAACATAACTAAAAGTTAAAGGAAAAACAAATCTTTGAAAAAACAAAAACAAAAGAAACCCATTATTTTGAGCTTGATCCTCTTCATGTTAAACCTTTGACCTCCATCATCAGACCAATGCAAAAACAAACAAACAAAAAGCTGCCACCACCAAAACCAAAAACAACATCCCCCCCAAGAAACCCATAATGCCGCCCCTTTGAATGACGTACTGTTAACATTTTAGTACATGTGTTTGATATTTTCACAAAAGATAGACCATACTGAATAGAATGTTTCTTTTTGCCTATTTGTTATCATCCTTTAAAGAGTTACGACCTCTTTGAAAGCACTGCTTTTTCTTTTTTTGGTGTGTATGTGGTATGAGTGTGTGTGCACCTGAGTGTGAAGGTGCATTCACCTGTGTAGGTGCATACGGAGGACAGGGATTGATTTCTGAATGTCTTCTTCAGTTGCTTTTCCATTTTTTAAAGGCATTTTTTTTTCTCACTGAGTCTGCAACCATTTTGGTTAGAATGACTGGCCATTGAGTTCCAGAAGTCTGCCTGCCTTGGCTCCCCAGTGCTGGGGTTATAGATGTACACTGCCAACTGGGCGTTTCAGGTGAGTGGTGTGGATCTGAAATTAGTGTCCAATACTTGTGCAGTGAGTACTGTACCCTGTGAGCTATCTCCTCAGTCCTGTAGGCATAATTTAAATGTCTTTTTTAACTGTTTCAGCTATGGCTATATTGTCTTATGCACAATTATTTCTACGTTGTTTGGCTTTTTTTGGTCAGTTCGTGTGACACACATCTCTGTGGCCAAGGCCCTTTGATGTTGGACTATGTACACGAGTTTCTGCGTTCCAAAGTCTGGGATGCTACTGACAAACTTGTTTTCTTCTACCGACTTAAGCAGATTAGTGCCTACTATGACACAACTGTTAGAAAACCTCATTCAAGAAGGAAGACAAATACATTTGCAATATTGATATAGTCTGGATGTTTATTTCTGAAGTCGATTTTGCTTAGCAACCATCTAGGGAAAGAGGGAGAAAACAGGAAGGATTCTTGAAGGAGCTACTCCTGGGCACCCGAAAGTAGAAGTAGTTGTTGGTACAGCAAAGGGCAGAGACGTCCACCCTGGAGGCAAGACTGCGTGTCCAAACACTGTGTCATGAGAAGCATGGGTACTGCAAGTAGCTGATTACGGTGAAAGCTGTGTGCAGCTGTTGTGGGCTTGGCTTCTAGCTTCTAGTCTTGTGGAAGGAAAGAATTCAGTCTAGAGACACAGAGTTTAAGCAGTAGTTTATTTAGCAACGCAAAGCAAGCCTTCCAAAGAGAGACTAAAGTGGGCTGTTTGAGGGTGTATATATATGGACAGAAGTTCAGAGGGTTCTCTGTTGTGGATTTTTAAGAAGTTAGAGGTGGGTAGCATCTTCATAGGGTAAGGTGACTTGCTTTTCCTCCCAAAGCATGATGGGTCAGATTTCCTTTTTATGGTATTTCTTCCCATGATCCTCTAGAAATATCCATGGCAGTGGTGGGTTGAAGGGGTGGGGACAGAAGGTGAAGGCGAAGGAGGAAGGGAAGAAAGAGGAGGAGGAGGTGGTGTTATCAGAACTACTTCATTATAGCAATATTGAAGCTGAGATCTTTTGCGGACAGAGATCTTTGCTAAGGTACAGGTGTGGTGAAGTGCTCTGGTGTTTTGGTTTTTGATATAGCAAGAACTACTTATCTGTGGCTTCAAGGATGTCTAACTGCAAAGAAACATTCTGGCAGTCAGAAGACACAACTACTAAAATGCAGCCGTGCTTCTGTTGTTGCTGTTGTTTGTTTTGATTCTCTCCTATCTGATGCTTTTCAAAGTGCCGTGACTGATCTCACGTCTGACTGTCAGTTCAGAAGGTTATGTTGTTCCATAGTACAGCCATTCTGTTAGTTTTAAAATTGAAAGCCGAGGGCAGAGTTTTAAAGCAGTTTGTTAAGTTGTACAAACACGCTTGGGCTGTCTTCTCGGACTCCTTTCTCCCTGCTCCACTACTCATAGCCATCTTTTTACCTAATGGGGAAGCAAGAGCAGAGAATGGAGCAGTAGGCAGCGTGCAGATCACGAAAGTCTTCTGTACTCACTGGGCAGTTGAACTTTTATGAATGTCATCGGTGAGCATCTATAAGATCTTGGCCTGCTTTAGGTAAATTTACCTTAATTTGTCAGAAGCAACATGGCTTTTCTACTCACCTATATGAAGAAGGATATAAATGGCTTGTATAAAAATTCTCTCAAGAAATATATAACATAGAGCTTAAAAAATGTTCATTAAGAGACACCATGGTACTGTGGGTAAAGCACAGCCTATGGAATCAGAGCAAAGCTTTGGTAGTTAGATGCAAGGATGGACTCGTGAATTGGAGAATATACAGAAGTGAACCAATGTGATTTTCATGTTTAACATTTGTTTATTTGTTTGTTTATTTATTTATTTATTTATTTATTTATTTATTTATTTTCATGTGGAGATCAGAATCTAATTTGTAAGAGTTGGTTTTCTCCTACCATTTGGGTCCCAGGATTGAATTTAGGTCATCAGGCTTGGCAGCAAGCCCCTTAATCTACTGGCCTTCAATTGTTGGCTGTAAGTGAAGGTGTAGTATCCCTTGAACTATTAAGATTTATGAAAATGTTCACAGTCCATAATCTGAGCCCTTGTCGAAAAGCAGCTTTAGTTTATATAATAAAAAGTGAATTTGATCCTTAAAGATTCTGTTCATGGCCTTTTCTTCTGTCCTTACATCCCAAGAGCAGATTACAAATTAAGTTGTCTCACTTTGCTGGCCATGGAGGGCTTGGCAAGGCTGAAGATGTCTACAGAGCCAGATGACAAGCAAAATCAAAGTGTTTCCAGGGGTTTCATATTCTTATTAATCTCTTACTAAATTGTTCTACCTGCTCATTGGGGTGAGGCAGTCATGACTTCTAGAGTGAGTAGCTATTGTGAGAACTTTCCTCTATAAATGACCTTTAGAATCTTTCTGTGTTCAGTGTCTAGACTTCAATTCATTCAGTGTCACTGTCCTCAGAATGCTCTAGACCTAATTTTTCAGATCTTTGACTCTTTTCTAGACTTCACATTGAATTTTCATGCATTGATTCTATCTTCTTAAAAATACAGGATATTCAGCCTAATCCAATCTTATCGATTTTAAGTGGATATCATCATCATCATCATCATCATCATCACATCTTTATTTATTTATTTTTTGGTCTTTTACTCTGTACAGCTTGTGAAGAAGGAGAGTTACTTTAGACAAAACTTATCTCTCCATGGTTTCTTTCTTAACTATGGGTGTTCATCACATACCTGTTGGGTGAGATGTTTAGGTTTTGAGGGTTCTAACCCGGCCAATAAAGTCATAAAATCGACTACTGTGTCAATGTTGTGTTTTTGGGTGGTTGTGTCCTTCAACACACATAAGACACTCAGCCAGCTAAAAGAGATGAGCTCAGAGATATTAGCTCGGAGGAAAAGAAGGATCACATTGAGGTCATTAATGGGGCATCCCAGCATCTTTCTGCTGAGGAGATCAAAAGCTGGGAGCATCTCATAGATGGAGAGGAGTCGTTTGTCCCACCGACACAGTCGTGTAAGGTTGTAGATTATCACTGGAACCAGTACGGTGTATACTGTTGCACTGGACAGACTTACAATCTGGAAAACAGACAGGGAAGTCAGCCTGCATGTGATCAGATCTGGCACATGGGTCTCATCATGGAGTAGCCCTGTCTTGATGGAGCAGCTGAATTCTTCTTGGAATAAGACATCTAAATGGAAGTGGCCAAGGTATAAGTAAGTGGCTGAGGTGAAGAGGAGTAAGAGGGAGTTCCTCAGGAGGTAGGTGGCCACTAGCGAATGGGAGCGCTGCTTGCACGCCAGATACCGCTCTAGCAAGGGGAATTCAAAGTACCGTTCTTTCCGGGCCCTGGGCAAGGGAAGAAAGAAGGCACTGTTAGGAAGCATCATTCAGAAGCAAACCCAAAAGTCACGGGGGAGACTAGTTGGTCTGTGTATATAACATGACATTAATTTTTAAACTCTATTTTTATTTTACATGCATGGGTGGTTAGCCTGCAATGTCTGTTGGTGCACTACATGCACACATCGCCTGCAGAAGCCAGAAGGAGGCATTGGAGCCCCTGGGACTAGAGTTACAGATGTTGTGAGCAGCCATGTGAGTGCTAAGAGTCTAACTCTAGTCTTCCATAAGAGCAGCCAGAACTTGAAACTGCTGATCCATCTCTCCAGCCCCAAACATGACATTTTTAGTATCCGTGAAAATCTGTATTCCCTCTCTAATCATAACCACAGTTATTCACCCAGAGGAGGTGTGTGAGTACTCCTCAGTTCTTCAAACATTAAATACAGTGTCTTAAATCCAGGGACGATCAACAAACCATGAATGGTCACAGTCCAAGTGAGTTTCTGCCCAGCAAGGTTAACTGAAGCTCAAAGCCGAAGTAGGATTTACAAAGCAATAAGCTTATGATTGGGAATGTAAATAATGGAATTCTGTGTTCTGAGTTTGATTTTGAGGTCAGTTCATTCATTTTATACAAATTAATACATCAACATTGATCGATCACAAATCTTAGGTAAACTCACCTTTCAGCGGTGCCCACTGGCTATGCCAGACCCATTTAAAAACTGCACCAACCTTTTCTCTGAGATTTCTTGCTCCCTTCCCCTGTTACTTTTTCCTCGTTCATACTGTTTGTCATCTACGAAGACATATTTTATGTGTGTACTTTGCCTACTTGCTGCCTGCTTTCCTTCAATAGACTCTTAACCCCACAATGGTAAGTATAGCTTCATTTCCTTTGTCCCCTGTCCTGAACAACATCAGCATACACATGCACACACACACACACACACACACACACACAATCTAAGAAGTCTGGTACTCAGATAGATGAATGATTAATTCCATCAATGATTTGCTCAAGGATAAGGAGGAAAGTACTTAGGCAAAACAGAAGATTTTTGTTGTCTAGGCTAGGTTAAATATCCCATATGCTAAATCCTTGGGGTCTGGGAGTGTTTCAGATTTTGGTGGGGTTTATATCTTTATTTTGGAATACTTGAAAGACTTTACCAATGATATCTTTAAAAAACTGGATTTTTGAGCACTGGGCAATTTGGAGGTCAGGAATGCTCAAATTGTAACTAGAAGTTTGAAAAGTAGTTGACATTGTGCATGAGGCCTTGGATAGATATTTGAGACTTCTAACATTTTTGCTAAGCATAGGGGGAGTTAACTGAGGTTTCTGAGCAAGGCAATAGTAAACAAATATTTTAGAACTATTAATTCCTGTGGCTCAGTGTGTTCATCTGTAAACTAGAGGCAGAGTCGTCTTCTCTCTACAGGAATGAGAAGAAGGTTCATCCCCTCCAAGAATGAAGGGATGAACTGAGTACTTTGCTCTCTTGAGAAGGATGGCATAGAGAAAATATGAAGATGATTCTGCATGGGTATCAATTTAATGCTCTACAGAGTCCTTTAGAAAAACCTGGAGCAGGCAACTCACTTCTCTAGCTCATCCCAGAAGACGTGGGGGTCGGAGCTCTTCTGCCGGATCTTCAACATGTGCTGCACCAGGCGGATGGAGCGGTTGTAGGACTTGTCAAGTTCACTGATGATGAACAGCAGGTCAGAGCTGAGGGCGGGCACAGCTGCATATTGCCACAGCAGCACTGGCAGATACATGGCCACAGCCAGGGCCAGTAGAGAGTAGGGGAGAGCCTGCAAAGAGCAGAAGGCTGAGGAGGGAGCCCGGGCTGCTGGGCCTTGAATGAGATCTAAGTGGGGGCTTCACTGCTCTCCTGTTCCCACTTTAGAAGGGAAGAGAGTGTATATAGTTGACTACCCAAAGCTCTCTGCCCACGTGGAATAATATAGTGAGGCTGGTAGAGAAGGGGCATCATAGATCTGTGTTACCTAGGTCCATGGTCTATGGGTTTTCTGACCTATGATCTGTCTGGGGCTCCAAGGAGAAGAGAAAGAATGGAAGCAGCAGAGGGATAAAGGATAGAAAGTGTCTGGTAGAGAGAGATCTGCTTTTTCTGCCTCAACAATACAGACTGAATATCTAGCCTGAGATTCTGATCAACAGTGGCCCTGACATCCCAGGGGAGAGAAAATGTTGTTTCTTCTATGTAGCCTGCCCTATGCTGGTCTTTTCTAGTCTCTGGATCCTCAACAATGTTGAATGACGCTGCCAGACACTCTCTTGGAATTCTATGGGGGTCATTTCAGGCATGCAGATAGTGGAATGGACCTTTAGGAATGTGTAGATCATGTCTTCTCAGGTACACTGGTGTTTTTAAAGATGCTCCACCCTGTCATATGAAGATAGGCATGCATGGAGAATACCCAGGGTGATGTGTCTGTGAGCCAAACAGAAGAGTTAGAAGATCTATCTCTCGCAGCCCTCAGAGGAGCCAACCTGCTGACCCCTTATGTTTCCATTGTTTAGATTGCTCTTCGTTATGGTGAGCCTGGCAGGGTGCACAGGGCCTTCCCTTGAGTTTTCTTTATACTTATGCATCCAACAGAGGCAGACCCATCTTTTATATTCACGGCACACTCTCTACTTACGAAGGATTTGTGAATCTACATTTGTTGCTAAGTACACAGGATGCATTATTTCACTTGGTTTTCACAAGTATGCTATCCGTGGGGTGCTATTCCAGTGTCTATTTTATAGCAGGGAACGCTGCATTATGGCCAAGTCATGCATCTGCACAGCCACACACACTTGTCAGGTGGAAGAGTGAAGATCTGGAGCCAGGATGGAAGGCTTAGGAGCTTATTCTCCTGATGACCCCTTGACCTGCAACTTCTTCCAGGTTGCTTTGTCTTTCTAGTGGCAAGTTTAGAGGAAAAGATGGAGAGTACATCTGATGTGTGTGTGTGTGTGTGTGTGTGTGTGTGTGTGTGTGTGTGTGCGCGCGCGCGCGCGCGCGCGCCTGTCTGTCTGTCTGTCTGTCTCTGCATGTTTTCAAAACTACAAGAAAGACTAGAATAGGTAAACTGGGGCCTCCAGTGAAATTATAACCATTTTACTCCTATTCAAGAAATAACACCCCCTGAAAATGAGGCCTTCATTTCTAAGGAGTGTGTTCTTAGCAATGGGGTGGAGCCAAATAACCCTGGTGACACTGATGCTCAGGCATTTTGACCTCCCAGTCTGTGGACTTGTTGTCACTGTCTTGGTCTGCAGACCGGCCGGTGACAGAGGCTCTGTGGACTTTCTCCACTAAGTCTTTGATTTTGCCTTCTAGGATGACAAGAAAGAGCAAAGAAGAAATCTCAGCACAAAGTGAGCAGGAGAGGAGGAGACAAAAGCAGCAAAATATTGAAAGCTGGGGGTCAGCTGCCTGATACAAGACATGGTGTGGGGGGAAAGCAGGGAGTCCAGACAAAAACAAACGATTTGCAACTCAGAACCAGAAAGACTCGGAAATTAGGGAGATGGGTGAAACTGAAAAGCAAGAGTATAAATAAGTTAGTTTGAACCAGGATACTGAAAAGTCCGTGTGAGATGCAAACCTGTGGATTTTTCTGTAATGTACAGTATCCAAGCAACCACCCTTTCCCATTCCCGATGGAAGGCTCGGAGTTTTGTTTCTGGAGAGACTAAGCCACTCTATACGTGAGTCTACTGTGGGCAGAACTATCCTGAGGTGGGTGAAGAATGAAATACTAAATGGTGGGACCCATGGCTGAATGAGTACTAAATGGTAGGGCCCGTGGCCGGGTTCCCTGAGGACCAGCAGTCAGACTTGATTCTAGCTGTACCCTAGCCCTGTCCTCAAGTTAAGGACCGAATGACTCTTCTCAGAGATAACAGACAATCCTGGGATAGGACTAGATACTGATACTTGAGTTTCTTTCCAGTGAAGTATACCAGAGGGATGCCCTTCACCTCAAACTGCTTGTCAACAAGCCTCACTCACAGGCACAAAACTCCCAGTCAGAAGAAAGCTGGCAACCAGACACCGACAGGCATTTGAAGAACTCCTGGACTATGAAAGTCAGCTGCCAAAATGAACGGGCGAGGACAGAGTGAGGTGGCAGGGAGCGTGGTGGGCAAGGGTGGAGTTCAGTGGGTGGTTCAGTATGGTGGTTCAGTCTACCCCCGACTCCCAAGCCGGGAAGCCATCCTGATAGGGCCTTTGTCTCTTTTACCTTGTGAGGCCAGAGAGACTTCACCTTGTACTGGCCAGCCTCGTCCTGCTTATGGTGAGCCAGTGAGTCCCAGCAGGAGCTGTCCACATAGGCCGCCTGTCTGACACTGAAGTTGCTGGGAGAGAAGCAGCTGATGGGAGACCCTGCAAAAGGAGCAGAGCGTTGAGTCGGCCTTGCAGCAGAGGGATGGAAATCGTTCGAGAGTTTCCTGGGTGAGGGGACATCCTTATTACTTGGTAACTTCTGTGGCTGGCAGGCCTTGCGTTCTTCCTGAGTCACAGCTTCCTGGGCCCTGTACTGCTGGGTCATGGGAAGACAGGTCATGACGGAACAGCACACACAGTTTGGCCCATGCTACCAATGCACTGACTTGGTCTTTTAGGTCTGATGGGCCTTTACTCTCAAGTTCCCCCCTGGCTCCCACACAGGAAGCCACCAGAGACTCCTTGAACTCAGCAGTTTGCCATCAGAAGGCATGGCATTTGATAGTGACATTTCCATTTAAGAAAGATGACATCCCTTTTTTTTTTTTTGAGACAGGTTTTCTCTTTTAGTTCTGACTGTCCTGGAACTCACTTTGGAGACCAGGCTGGCCTTGAACTAGGATAGGTCCGCCTGCCTCTGCTTCCTTGAATGCTGGGATTAAAGGCTATGCTACTACCACTCAGCAGAGAGATGACATCGTCTTAAAAATACTTTCGAAATTATTATATGTGTATCATGTGTGTGCATGGGCTGTACCATACTCATGGGGCTAGAAGGCAACTTGTAGAAACTGCTTCTGTCATTCCACCATAGTTTCATAGCTCCATCGTGTGTGTCCTGGGGCTGAGCTCAGGTTGGCAAACTTGGCAGGAAGTGCCTTTACCTGCTGAGCCATCTTTTTTTTTTTTTCGGGACAGGGTTTCTCTGTGTAGCTTTGTGCCTGGAACTCACTCTGTAGCCCAGGCTGGCCTTGAACTCACAGAGATCCACCTGGCTCTGCCTCCCGAGTGCTGGGATTAAAGGCGTGCGCCACCACCGCCCGGCCTGCTGAGCCATCTTGTTGGCATTGTTTAGTTTTAAGACCGAGTCTCACTGTGTGTCTCAGGCTGACTGCAGACTTGTCATCCTCCTGCCTCAGGCTCCAAAATGCTGGGATTACAGGTGTGTGCACCATACCCAGAATAGAAGATGGCTCTTTTGCTTTGTACAAAGCGAATGACTATTGCCTGGATTCCTACATGGAAAGGAAAACAGGCTTGGAAGAGAGGACCTAGCTTTCCTGTTTCTTATCAGAAAGTGGCGGAGCTGCGAACCAATCCTGTTCCCATTCTTGCAGGTGAAGAACAGAGAGAGATGGAACACCTCGTCAGGAAATGCAGTAGGCTAATGGGCAGAGACAGAAAAGGAAGCAAGGGCCCAGGTGACCTCAGTAGAGGGAACAGCAGGCTTTCCGAGTTAACCCAGTGCCTACAACATTGCAAACAGGCGTGTGTTAGTGTCTGTTTACGGCTAGGGTCATGGAGAAGAAGCAGGGGTTTGTTGAGCACCTCCAAACAAGGCTGTATCAACTTTGCAAGTGGGGATGGGTGAGAAGAGGACTCCGGAGAAAAAAGAGCTTGTTCAAAGTGGGCTAAGGGGGAGGGGCTTCAAGTTCTGAAAAGATGACAGAGTCCCAACCTCTCATAGCTATATAGAAACCAAACTGATAGTTTTATCATTGATTTGACTTAAAATGTATGACTGCTAAAGTGACAACTAACTGTTATTTTAAAATTTTATTTAGTTTCTTAGTTTGATATATATATATATATATATAGTATGTTGAGTATATTATATATATATATATATATATATATATATTATGTTGAGTGTATTCTCTCCTTCATATTCCCCACCCTCCCCTTACTCCATCCACCCCCCCTTTCTGCACTATTATTTTTTATTGTACGATTTCCAAGTTGACTCTTGTAACTTTTTGAGGCTTCTGCTTTGCGAGTGCCCTCGACTCACTCATGACCTGCCTCTTGGGAATCCCGTCCAGCCCAAAGCCATGAAACCTTCTTAAGTCAGGAGCTGGCTCTCACTTTCTGCCGGGTGCAGGGTGGAATGAAGTCAGGTCTCTTACCTGATGAGAACTCCTGGGCAAAGGCCAGAGACATCAGCAGCAAGGGGAAGCCCACCGTAACAAACTTGAGCATCTTGTCCAGGGGCAGTTCCAGCCGCAGTCCCTTGAGGCGAGAGCCCCTGCGGTCGGGTAGCAGGGCATCAGAGAGCATATACTCTGCCGCAGTGTGGGCGAGTGACATGATGCTGCCGAGCTCGGGGGTACAGGGGAGGCTGCCACCCTTAGCAATCCAGGGACAGTGGGGGTGAAGTGGAGACCGCTTCCCGGAGTTAGTCTGTAGCCGACAGTGCCGCAGCCCCAGCCTCACATACCCCGTGCTAGGACCAGGCAGACGGTTCTCTACACAACTGTCCAGGCTCTGAGCCAGACACTCAGGCAATTAGAGGGAGGCGCAGCCTCGGTGGGTCCTCTTTGGAGGAGGGTCAGGCTTCTCGTGTGCCTGGTGCCGGGCTGCTTGCCTGGGTTGTGTCCCAGAGGACGAAGCCCTGTGGCTTTATTCTGCCCTCTGATTAATACAGTATTTTCAGCAGAGTGGTCGAGAGAAGGAGGGGCCGTGGGCTCAGCCCCCCATGTAATTGGTGTGGAATTTGGGTGGAGATTGCTTAAACGTGTTGAGGGCTCTCATTTTGTGGTTTGGGGTGGGAATGGCGCCCCCAGGATTCAGCGAGGATAGTTACCCCTATAGAGCGGACTTTGTCCCGGTGATGAGTGTCGCCTTAGGTCCAGACTCCTTCCCAGAAACTGCCCTGCATTTGATGTTAGCTTGCCTTCCCCCACTCTGGTCTTCTTTCGGGAGTGTTATTTACAGTTTTCAGTTCCATCGAGCTTGCCCTTTCTCTAGGAAGCAGGGGGAGGCCTGACAGTGTGGAGTAGTGGGAAGAGCACGATCTTTGACCTTTGGAAGGAAAGGACCCAACAGTGTGTATGTTTCAACTGCATGATTTCAGGCAAGTCGCTTTGTCTAAGTTTTCTCTTCTCTCAAGATTCAGCCTGTGAGAAACCACGGGGCTTGGATGTGTATATGAGAACGTGCTCGCTAGCTTTTTAAGCAAAGGGAACGCCTACATTTTGGTAAGTGTCCACAGGGCCCAGGTGTTAAAGGCTTGGCTGCCAGCCTGTGACACTCTGGGGACGAGGTGGGGCAATTGAAAGGTTGGACCTAGGCCACTGGGGCATGTCCTTGATGGGGATATTGGAACCCTCAGGCACTTTGTCTTACACTTGCTTCTTGGCCACCATGAAATAAACAGCTTCTTTTTTCCCTGTGTACTTCTGCCATGAGTCACTGTCCACCACAGGCCCAACACTACAGAGCCAAGTGACTACAGATTCTGGAACCATGAACTAAATAAACATATCCTCCCTTCGTGTTTTCCCTTTGTAACGAGGAGGCCTCGGGTGTGATGATCTCGACCCCCATCTCCACCTTTCTTCCCTTTAAGTTGATTATATCCGGTACTTTTTCACGCTGACAGAAAGTGGACTAGTACTCAAGTATCAGGTCAAGTTGGCATCATGTGGTTGGGTTGGAGAACAAGACAGTCTTGTCTATAGCACTGCCCTTAAACTTGGAAATGAAGGCCCTTAACTGGCCTCCTTTTGGCCTTCCTTGGCTCTGTTATTCCTGGGGGACAAAGAGTACGTGGGTTGATGGGATGTGCCCATTCTGTGCTATGCAGAACCTGTGTGCTCTTCAAACTACTTTACAGCATCCTCGGCTTTGCAACTCCTTACCCATGGGCCTTGGTCTGCTTCCAGGGCCGGTGTGGGCCCCTTTCTCAGGCTCAGGTACACCTTCTGAAGGGATGACGACTGTGTGGGTGTACACTCAAGGTCTAAGGAACAGCTACCTAGTATGATTGGAGTTTAAAAGCCCTGACATGTCCACACATGCAATTGTGAGCTCCCACGTTTAGTGTGGGACTTGGCTGTATTGGAATAGAGACCTGGGATAGCGCAATGGTTCTAAATTGATCCTTTAAAAAAGCGTGTGTGTGTGTGTGTGTGTGTGTGTGTGTGTGTGTGTGTGTGTGTGTGTGTGTGTGTGTGTGAAGCTAGTCAGGTAGAACATATACAACAATTTTGTTAGCTTGGTTGATACTTTTTCGTTTTTTAGATGTATGTAGTATATGGGTCTCTATAAATACTTTTATTCTGTGGCCACAGATGTTTAGGCTGGGCCAGCCTTTCCCTCATCTCACTGGCTAGAGGCCCACCCTAATTTAGAGTTGCCTCGTGCATACTAATGATTTAGGTATCTGGACCACAAAAGGAATGCTTTTTTTCTGCCCTCCATTACCCTTTCTGGAGTCTCATTTCTGCAACTTTAAATTACATCCAATTTTGTCAATGTTTATGGTAGGTTGTTATGCCTATATAGTCTTTTGATTCTCAAAAATATTTGTCTTTTTGAAGTATACTATACATACATAGTATAACATGCCCACACGTGCAGTTTGGTAATGCTTCCTCTGATCAGGAAGCAGAACATTTGAGTCCTCTCCACAGACACTGTGAAGTGTTACTGTTCCTTCTAACAGTTCTCACTTCCCCAAAGGTAGTTGCTACCCTAACTTCTAGTAGCATAGATTAGTTTTGCAATTTTAACACCTTAAAGATGGAGGGCCAGGGATATAGCTCAGGAGTATAGCTCAGTTGCCTAGCATTTGTGAGGCCCTGGGTCCAACTACTCTTTGGAACCTCCATCCTCTTCTCCACCCCACAAAAGGAAACAGCAGTTCTTATTTTGTAGTGTGAGATGGCTTAGTGGGAAAAGACATTTATTTGCTGCCAAACATGACTCCTATGTATATGAAAATTACCCAGTTTGTTGCTTGTTTTTGTGCTCTATATTCATGAAATTATATTAATTTCTTGATATTTGGATTCACGGTTCAAAATACTTTTGAGATTCATCCATGTTGTTATGTGAATCAGATATCCATTCCATTTTATTATAGAAACATATACATACTTGTGCTATACACACTGATAGTCATTTGGGCTTCCAGGTTCTGGCTACTAAAATAATGTTTCTGTGAACCTTGTAATTTGTATCTTATAGTGGGCATATGTGTCTATTTATGTTGGATACATGCTCAGAAGAGGATTGCTGGTCACAGTGCCATGCATATGGTCACCTTTATATTTTTCCAGGTGGTTGTTTATACTTTCACAAACAGCTTTTGAGAGTCCTAAGAGGCACACCTCTTTGCCAGTATTTTTATTTCCAATTAAAAGTTTTAAGACATTTTAGAATGTGTATCAAAGTAACACATTGTGGTTTTTAACTTGAAATTTCTCTGATGACTAATTGGCTGTTTTGGTCACTTGGATGCCAGTCTTTTATGAAGTGTGTGGAAGACTTCTGCTTGCTTTTCAGTTGGTTTTCCTACCCTTTCCTTAATATTCCGAGACTATTTTGAGAAATACGTTTTATTTAATATCCTCTTGCTGTCCACGGGTAGCATTTTCATTTTCTTCATGGTGTTTTCTGATGTCTTGAAATTCTCATTCTACTACAATCCGTGGATTTTTGTTTCTCTTTCTTTAAATTAAATTTTATTTTTTTAAAAATTTATTCTTCTCCCATACAATACATCCTGACAGCAGTTTCACCTCCCTCCACTCCTCCCAGTTCCCCCACCTTCCCTCTCCCCCAGATCCACTTCTCCTCCCTTCAGAAAAGAGCAGGCCTCCCAGGTACATCAACTGAACACAATAAGACTAGGCACAAACCTCCCATATCAAGGCTGGATGAGGCAACATAGTAGGAGGTGAGGGTCCCAAGAGCAGGCAAAAGAATCAGAGACAGTCCCCACTCCCACTGTTAGGAGTCCCACAAGAACACCAAGCTACATCTTTAAAAAACAAACAGAAAGTGCTTTATGTGTCCTATGCAGGAAACCATCAGTTATTCCAATAAGAAAAAAAAATTTAAGTGTTCTCTAATATATTTTTGCTTCATATTTCTCTTTGTGCCTGGAGTCCATCTAGAATTTTTTAAAAAAAATAGAGATAGAATAGAGGTCAAGGTATGTTATTTTTCACATGTGTATCCAATTGATTCACCCAGTTTATTGGAAAGCCCACCTATCCCAGGCAATGTATTGTTGTTACTGTCAATCCGATGACTAGGCTCCACTTGCCTATTTTTGTACCAATTCTATAGTATCTTAACTATGAAGGCTTTATAACAGGTCTTGATACTATCATGTAATATTTCCAGTCTTGTTCAAGATTATTGTGGATAATATTGCTCTTCTGTACTTCTATTTGAATTTTACAATCAAATTTTGAATTTCAGTAAGGAAATCCAGCCAGAACTTTTGATCAGGTTTTTTAAATCTATAACTTAATTTGTAAAAAATAGTCTCCATTTGCTTATGTATTAGAAATTTCTGTTTATTGCACTTTTTAGTCTCTTTTTAGACTTATTTTTTTTACTTTTTTGATAATGTGTGTCTGTATATGGATATGTGCATGTGTGAGTGCAGGTGCCCATGGAGGCCACAAGAGGGCATTGGATCCCCTGGAGCTGAAGTTACAGGCATTTGTGGGTTCTTGATGTGGGTATTGGGAATTGAAGTCAGGTCCTCTGTAAAAGCAGTGTGTGCCCTTAATCACTGAGGCATCTCTCCAGCCCCATTTTTTTAATTTTTTAGTGGAAAGAACTTACATATCTCTTGTTCAATTTCTGTGTTTGGTATTCTTGATTCCTTTGCTAATTGAATTAAAAAAATGCATTTACCTACTTGTTGCTAATATATGGAAATACAATTGATTTTTTTCTATATAAAGTTTATATCCAGCAGCCTTTATGTTCACTTATTGATTATATAATTTGCTGGTAGATTCATTTTCTATCAATACAGCAACTATATTGTCCTAGTTAGGGTTTCTATTGCTATGAAGAGACACCATGACCATGACTAAACAAAGGAAAACATTGGGGCTGGCTTACAGTTCAGAGGTTTAGTCCACTGCCATCATGGCAGAAAGCATGGAAGCATGCAGGCAGACATGGAGCTAGAGAAGGAGCTGAGAGTTCTACATTCAGATCCGTAGTCAGAAGAAAGAGAGAGAGAGGGAGACGCTGGACCTGGCTTAAGCATTTGAAACCTTAAAGCTCACCCCACAGTGACACAATTCCTCCAACAAGGCCACACTTACTCTAACAAGGCCACACCTTCTAATAGTGCCACTCCCTAAAAGCCTATGGAGGCCATTTTCATTCAAATCACCACACATCTATGAAAAAAAATTGTGCCTTTCTCTTTTCTAGTCTTTATACCTTTATTTACTCAGTTGCATTAATTTGATTGTTCAGGGCCTCCAGCACAACACTGAATAAAAGTGCATTTTTATCTTATTCTTAGTCTTGGGGGAAAGTTTTCAATGTTTTTACTATTTATATAAGATGCTCACTGTAGATCTCTTTCTTTGGTTTTATTGATTTTGTGGTAGATTACATTTTTCACATTAAAGAACTTTTATTTCTTGCTAGTTTGCTAAGTATGTTTATAAAGAATAGATGTTGAGTTTAAAAAAATACTTTTCCTGGATAAGATTTTCCTGGATAAGAAAAATCATAAGATTTTTCTCTTTATATCTGTTATTATCATGGGATATGTTGGTTGGTGTTTGAATCTTAAATTATTCTTACATTTGTGAAATAAATGTCACTTGCCTCTAGTATTTCCTCAACTTGATTTTTATTAGTTTCAGTTTAATATAATTTCCTTAAGTTTTTTAATATTATGTTTAAGCAATTAAGAGATGAATTTAATTTTGCATTGTAAAATTGTCTGCTTATGCTGACCACACTAAAAGAATTAGCAAGTTTTTTTTTTAAACTATATTTGGTAAGAGTATACAATATTAGTACCATTTTTTCCCAGTAAGTAGTTGGAAAAACTTACAGTTGAACACATCATGTCTTGGAGTTTTCTTTGTGTGTAAGTTTTATCGATGGATATAATTTCTTTAGTGAATGTGTGGCTGTTCAGAATGTGTAGTTTCACTTGTGTGGCTTATTATGTTACTAGTTTTCTGCTGTTGCATACAAGTTTCACAGAAACTTGGGGCTTAAAACAACAACAAAACTCATTTATCATTATGAAAATTCTGTAGATGAGAGGTTGGGGAGCAGTTTGGCTGGGTTGTTCTGGTCTCTGGTTAGTGTGCCATCGGTACCAAATGTCCTTGCTGGTTATTCACCTGGAATCCCAGGTCTTTCTTGTGTGTCTGCAGTAGGCCACACTTCCTCACCACAGGAGTCTCTCCAGGGTGACATGGAGCTGGTTGTCCTGGAGCAGATGACCAAAGACAGGAAGCAGACAAAACTCTGCAGTGCCTTTCATGAGCAAATCTTTGCGGTTGCCATTGATGCTTCTGTCTTTCTTTTCTTTTCTTTTCTTTTATTTCAGTTTATCTGAAACTAATAAAAATCAAGTTGATGAAATACTAGAGGCAAGTGGCATTTATTTCACAAATGTAAGAATAATTTAACATTTAAATGTCAACTGATGTATCCCATGATAATAACAGATATAAAGAGAAAAAAAATCTGTGAATATTTCAGTGTCCAAGAAAAGTATTTTTTAAACTCAACACCTATTCTTTATAATAGATGTTTTAGTTCTATTACAAATAAATATAATAAACACATTATATAGTGATTTTTTAAAAATTTCTTTTATTCTGTATTTCTTGTATTCACTAGAAGGAGGCCATTAAATCCAGCTTGTATCTGAGAGGAATTAAGCCTCGCAATTTGAAGGATTGTCAAAGAATTCATATACTACTTTAAACCATATTGGATAAGTGAAAAAACTGAGGAAATTATCTATTTTTTTATCCCAAAGCCAAACTTATTATCATGCTATTAATAACATTCCCATATCAATATTTTGTTATATAATTTGAAATATACAGCAAAGCTGAAATAATTTTATACTAAACATCTGCAATCTTTAACTTTATTATTTATATGTTTTGTTACCCATCTATCCATCATGTACCCACCAAGCTATCTTTTAAAATATGTATTTCAAAATAAATTGCAAACCTTCTTTTTCTCTAAATACTTCAGCATTTGTATTATTAACCTACTTTTGTGTTGGTTTACAGTTTTATTTCTTTTGAGGTAAAATATACATACAATTGTATGTACAAAGTTTAAATGCATAAATGAAATTTGAAACATTCACAAACTTCTGTAATCTACATTCTATTAAGATTAGAGCATTGTCATGGCCAGAAAAATCCCTTTGATTCTGTTTTAGAGATCATGATTTTTCTAGTGGAACTCTCCATACTTTTTTTTTTTTTTAAAAAAAATATAATCTTTTAAAAATATCTACCTCTTTCTTTCCTTCCTCCCTTCCTCCCTTCCTCCCCCCCTCTCTCTTTTATTTTACATCCCAGGGAAAACTGCGGTTTCTCCTCCCTCCTCTTCTCCCAATTTCCTTCCCCACCCTCCCTCTGTTCCCACCCCCCAGTTCGCTCCTTCTCCTCCATTTCTGTTCAGGAAAGGGCAGGTCTCCCGTGGATATCAACAAAGCATCGCATATATCAAGTTGCAGTAAGACTAAGCACCTCCCCGTGTATTAAGGCTGGGCAGGGTGACCCAGTATGAGGAGTAGGGTCCCAAAAGCCAGTAAAAGAGTTTGAGACAGACCCTGCTCCCACTGTTAGGAGTCCCAAAGAGGACCAAGCTAAACAACTATAACATATATGAGCCTAGGTCAGTCCCATGCAGGCTCCCTGGTTGTTGGTTTAGTCTCTGTGAGCCTCTATGAGCCCAGGTGAGTTGATTCTGTGAGTTTTCTTGTGGTGACCTTGACCACCCCCGACTCCTACAATCCTTTCTCCCCTCTTCTGCAGGATTCCTCAAGCTCTGTCACATGTCTGGCTGTGGGTCACTGCATCTGTTTTCATCAGTTGCTAGATGAAGCCTGTCTGATGACAACTGGACTAGACACCAATATATGAGTATAGCGGAATATTGTTAGGCATCATTACATCGACATTCCCCCCCCCCCCCCCAGTCGTGTTTGGTTCTATCCTGGGTCTCTGGGTCATCCAGCCTGTGGGTCCTGGTGCTCCAGACAGTGTCAGGGGTGAGTTTACTCTCCTGGCATGGGTTTTAGGCCAGACCAGTCATTAGTTGGCCACTTCCTCAATCTCTAAGCCACCCTTACCCTAGCACATCCCATAGGCAGGACTGACTGTAGGTTGAAGGTTATGTGGCTGGGTTGGGGTCTCAGTCCCTCCATTCGAAGTCTTGCCTGGTCACAGAAGATGGCCAGTTCAGGCTATGTATCACTATTGCTAGGAGTCTTAGCTGGGGTCATCCTTGTAGATTCCTGGGAGATTCCCTTGTGCCAGGTTTTTACCTGACCCTTAAAAGACACCTCTTTCCAGTAGCTTTTTTTGGTACGCTCCCTCTCTGTCCATCCCCAACCTGATTGCTCATGTTCTCATCCCCACCCACCCACAGTCCACTCATGAAGTCTCTTCTATTTCCCCTTCCCAGGGAGTTCCAAGCATCCCCTCCTTGAACCCTCCTTGTTACCTAGTCTCTCTGGGTCTGTGGATTGTTGCATAGTTATCCTTTATTTTACAGCTAATATTCACTTATGGAAACTCTCCATACTTATGTAATTTATTTATTTTTTATTTTACTGACCATATTAATTAGAATTATTTTATAATCTTTATCAGTAACTCTGGAATCTAGGCAATTTATGGATTCACTTATACTGTCTATTCTTTGTCTTCATTGTTGACTGATGCTATGGTTTTATCTGGAGTGTCCCAGAGGTCCACATGTAAAAAGCTTGATCCTTGATATGGCATTACTGGGGAGGTAGAAACTTAAGAAGTGGGCCTAGTGGCAAGTTTTGTGTCATCAGGTGCCACCCTTAAAGGGGACCATAGGGTCCTGGTATCTTCCTCTTGTTTTGTTCCCTCCACACCCCTTTATGACTACAAGGCAAACAGTTATGCTCTACCACAGGTTCCAGCCGTAATGTGTCTCAAAGACTGAAAGTAATGGGGTCAATCATAGACTAAAATGTCCATAAATGGTGAGGCAAAGTAACCTTTTTTTCTTTATAAGTTGCTCATATCTGTTATCTGTTGTTGAAAGAGAAAGCTGAGCAAGATTTTCATATGACCTTAACTCTTTGCATGCCTGTATTTTAATTTGCAACATATATGGAACATCAAGTATGAGAAACCAAAGAATCACAGATACTCTGGTTAGTCTGTCACCAGAGGTGGGTCTTGTTTATTCTGTTAGGCACACAGGTAGAGATGCTGATCTCTATCTACTCAGGAACATGCATGGTCAGGTCTGTGTTGAAGAGGCACTAAGACAAATTCTGCATTAGTTTTCCACATTCTGGAGTATGATCCCCACTCCCCGCCACCCCCATTCTGGAGTATGTTCTCTCCAGGGTTTTGACTGAAGGTCTTTCAACTTTGAAAGACTGAGAACTTTTTACTGTCTTGAGAGGATTTTCTTTCAGCTCCTTAGCTTCCAATTATAGGTAGCTTCAAAATGTGGCCTATGTTTGGAAGGGCGGTGAATTTGCAGGAGTGAGCTTCGCACTAGCCCCTCCCAAGCATCACGGGGTAGAGGATCTTTCACTTTGCATAGGATTCTGAGCGGATGTCAGTTCACATATTCCTAGCATCCTGCAAATGTCCCATGTGGAAAACCGACCATGTGTTTGAAGCTCCTCAAGTTTCCATCTGTCATTCCACCCCTGTAACAACAACTTAAGACTTTGATGGCTCATTTTCTCCCTGACAGAGGCCTTCTACTTGGACCAAAGCCAATGGTGAATTGCTGCCCAGAAACAGAAACTTCACCCAGAGTAAAAATTCCTGTCTATACGTACACTTCTCGTTATGATCTTACAAAAGAGTTTAGTTAGGATATTAAATCTCTCTAATTTCTATGTCTTATAAGGTTATTGGCTTTCAGTAATATTTCATTATTTTAATTTGCATTTCTTTTGATAAGTATCTCTTTATGTGTGCATTAACTATTTCTGTGAAATAAGTTGCTCAATAGCTTTAAACAGTGAATGCATCATTTTCACTTTCCATAGGTCAGGAATTTGGGAGCAGCTAAGATAGATTGCTCACAAGGTTTCATTCAAGAGATTGGCCTTAGCAGCTGATGGAGACAGATGCAGAGACCCACAGCTGAACATTAGATGGAGTTCATGAATCCTGTGGAGGAGGAGGAGGAGGAGGAGGAGAAAGGAGTGAGTGTAGGAGCCAGAGGGGTCAAGGACACCAGAGGAAGGCTTACACAATCAGCTAACCTGGGTTCATAGGGGCTCACAGAGACTGAACTAACAACCAGGGAGCCTGCCTAAGATTGACTTAGGCACTCTGAATATATGTTACTGTTGTTTAGCTTGGTCCTCTTGTGGACTCCTGACAGTGGGAACAGGGGCTGTCTCTGACTCTTTTACTGGCTTTTGAGACCCTATTCCTCATACTGGGTCACCTTGCTCAGTGTTAATACATGGGGAGGTGTTTAGTCTTACTGCCATGCTTTATTGATGTCCACGGGAGACC